GTTTTAGCTACGATGGTGGAGGAGGGGCTGGAGGTGGGTTAAAACAGGGTCATCTGAAGGAAGTCAGACACAGACACAGCGTAACTGCCGCCTGCGAACTAGGTATCAGACGAGTTGTGGATCGGAGGCCTTTTAACATGAACTTTGGATGCTGATTGGCTTTCGTTGAGGTGTGGTTCAAAGCTGATTGGCTGTGTCATAGGCGGATGAAGGCAAGTAATCAGTTTATTCAGTTGAACTTCCGCCTAGGCTCAATATTCTCATAATATTACAACTTTATTCTCGTAATGTTACGACTTTTTCTCATAATGTTAAGACTTTTTTCTCAAAATAAAAAATAGAAAAATATCTAGCCTGGCCGTAATACTCCGTTACAAATACTCAGACCAGTAAAAAAAGCAACAACAAAAAATCCTTGTCCTGTATTTAATGGTACACAAACTCCTTCCAGCTGCAGCTTTTTTCCCCAGTGCCTCCAGGCAGCAGCGATTTAGCTACTTAATCTGGACACAGAAAGAAAGAACTGATTCACACTAGAGACAAGTTGGGTTTGTATAAAGCTGAACCAGAAACAGAGAATTGTGTTTACAGAATCGTGCTGCTCCATCTGTTATGGAAAAAAATTAAATAACAAAAAAAAAAGAAAAAAGGAAAATTCTCTCCACAGATGAATTTGTGTGCCTTCCATAAAACAAATCTCCACCCCAGTTTTCAGTCTGTTCGATTTTGCACATTTAGATAGGCCTAGAAAAAATAATAATAATAATCAAAAACTACAATGTATCATAGCATAGTCAGAAAAAATGGAAAACAGGAAACTATACCCATTATTGACAACAAAACAAGCACGTTCCTGGCTTTTAGCAGCGTGTACAGGTAGCTAACACTACTACCAGCGGTGGAGAAGACGCGCTATGAGGGTTTGCTTGTTTTTGCCCACAAAGTCACCTATATTGACTATCATTGCTTTTTGTCGGACTGATGAATATTGGTTGGAAAATTGTTACATACCGCCCAACCTTACTTTGTATAGCTTGTTTCTAAATAATGTTTATACAAGCATAAAATCTGAAAAGATTCTAAGTTTAAACTACATGACCCCAATAACATGTCTTACTTATTTCTAATGTGGAAGAATTACAGTGAAAGTGATAAACCTGTTTTTTTGTGAGCGATATCATTGCTACATACTAGATATTTTTACTTTGAGTTTGAAACAAAGCCAGAGAAAAGAGTTGGTGGGGAGTTAACGTTATTAGAAATGACAACTATTTTACTGGAAACAAAAAGACAGATGAAGGGTGTGGGACATGAGGCAGCTAAATATTAGAAAGAGAAACATAAGAGTCAGCAGAGGAGAAGTGAAAAAAGTGTTTACAAATGCAGAGCAGCATGTTTTTAAAACAGCTCAAGATCTCTTAATTGTTATCCTACCATCTGTAATTTAAGCAACTTTCCCAATAAGTAGATAAATCTTTCCCCAAAAAATAAATCACCCAAACTCTGTGCTTGAATGTACTTGGCTGACCAAAGCAGATTTAAAATAAATCTGAGATAGGTCTTGAATAGGGGAGGGTTGACAACTCTTTTTTTGCTGGGCCTGTTTGTCTTGGCATTTCCCCAAGATTGTGCTTCATGCTGTGTTACTGTCAGCATTAGGGTAGGTGGTAATTCTCGCACACAAAACAAAACAAATGCTTGCACTCTACTTGCCTGATTTGATAAAATGTCATGTGAAAAACTGTGTTAATGTCAAATGTAGCTATTTTTGAAGGTGATAATTGCTCAGTTTTTGCATTAGAGCCTGGAAATTTGTTTTATTTTTTAACTGAATTTTTTACCTAAATCCGAACATAAAAATATATATATATATATATATATATATATATATAAATATATATAAAGTGCTTTACCTAAAAGCTAAACAGGTTGCTGATTTTAATGCATTGTTTTTACATAAAAATAGATATTTTTCAAATGAAGCCTATTGTTACAACTGACCGTGGAATCCTTTAACTTACTCAAGTATCTTATATGAACAGGATTCTAGTTAGGGTTGCTGAGATTTTTTTGAGTGTCCCAAAGTCCAATATAGGGATATATATGATCAAATAATTCCTTTGACACTTAACTCTAAAGCAAAGCAGCAAGTATCACTTTATTACCTGATTTAACAGTTCAGTCCAACTCGTAAGAGTGAGGTAGGATCTATAAAGCAAATCGCAAGTATCACATTATTATTAAAACGGTCATGTAGGTCCAGGGTTCCAGGAGTCCACAGAGAATTGGGGCTGGTTCAGGGTTCCAAGAGTCTGACAGAGAGTTCAGGCAGAACGTTCAAATGGGAACAGGCAAGCTCACTAGTTGAGAGGCAGGACAAGGAAGGATATCAGGAAAACTACAGAATGTTAAAACTAGCTCCCTCCACAGAGCCAAAACAGGAACAGAGCACATTCATTGAATAAAAGACAGGACACAATCAGGAACACTAAGACGATATTAAAAACCCTCTCTCACCACTGGCCTGTGAGAACGGAAACATGAGCAAAAACATCAGCTATGAACTCAAAGTCAACTCAAAACAAAGTCGATGATCTGGCCCTGATAGCTGGGCTGAGCCATATATAAAGCAGCAGGGGTTTGTGGATGACATGAGTAAGACAGGTGAGTAAAATGAGCAATTAGGTCAGCTATCAGGGTAGTGATCATGAAAAAGAAGCATTTTCATGGCTTACAAATTTGCTAAACCAAAAATGGCTGTTTTCTGTATGCAGATTAACAGCTATAAGAACCACTTCATCATAGCTTTGAGCAGAAGTCCTCACAATATGCCTTGCATCACCTCTAGCTAATCGAAAAAAAGGGACTTTTGTTAACACTGCAGGCGCTGTCATGATCTTGGCGCTGATGTCTGATCTGATTACTATTTTATTTACTTGTCTATCTCCGCCCAGTTCTCATTACCATTTATCTTATCTACCTGCTTAAGCCTCTATTTAACCAGCCTTAAAACCAGTCAACAGAGCCAGAATCTTCGAGCCTTTGGTGAGATTGCCTGATCCTGACCTGTTCTGCCTCTGGACCTCTGAGCCTGCCAGTTCCTGTTCTGATCTGTTTGGCTGACCTGTCCTCGGACTTCTGCTGGATTTCTTCCTGCCTGTGTACCAAACTGGTACTGGGCATGGACTGAACTGTAAGACCAGGTTAATGACTCACATTCATTATCATCGTCCGCCATATAGATGTGGTCACTAACCTGTGTTCTCCTCCTGCAGAGGTTCCTGCCTTGGACACCAATGCTGTTCACTGCAGTTTCGTCTTTAATAAACTTTTTGTTAAATCTAACCATCTTTCTGCCTTGAATACTTGGTCCTTTTGTTCTGAGCCAGCATGGTCAAAGTAGGGCCCTCCTAGAGAGGGAATGTAATGTCATCATTACATGCCATTACATGTTATTTATGAACATTTATCTTGTATTTCCAGGAGAGGAAGGAGATTCTGCAGCATTAATAAAATTAAAAAAAAGAAAAAAGAAATAGAGTTATAGCAGTTCATAAAGCTCACAAAAAGTATTTTCAATCACATGGTCTTTTTACCCATGAGAACAACCACTTTAGAAGAATAAAAAGACTAAACAGAGCAGCATTGCTCTTTCTTTTAGCCTTTCTATTATTGGCTTAAAACCGTGCTCTCTCTCAGTCTAAATTGACAACAGACATTTTTTTGAAAGTGTTTACTAAAATGTTATTGTATTTTTAAATTTAAGTTTCTGGCATTTCTGTGCTGTGTAGGACATTTTTTAAGGAATCCGTGGATAATAAAATGGGAAAACTTTAATTCTACTCTCTTCAGAACCAGCAACCACACAGCATAGTGCTGTGGTCAGCCCGGCTGGTGTTGTTTATGTATTATGTTTCACAGACTGAAAAAAAACCCTCAGATCTTTCTTGAGTTTCTCAATAATCGCTATCTAGGAATGAGGAAGTTGTAAAGGTGCAAATATGCATAACATTTTTTGACGACTCTATCTAAAAAAGAATATCACAAATGAGAAACACTGATAATCCACTATATGCCACGTTGTGTGATAAAAATCCCTTTTGAAGCACCTTGCCTGATTCATTGATGTATTTTTCTTTGAGTATGTGCACATATGTTTGTGTGACAGAGCTTTAGAGGTTTGGTGATCGAGCTCCATGACTCCAGTCTCCAGCCGAACAAATTTTGTATTCTGATTTGGATAAGAAAATTGTGCACATGTTAATCAAAGATTTTTGATGTAAATGCAATTAAGGGTGACTCCCTTTTAAGATCAGTCTCTTTTGGCTGTAAAAACACTTTGTTGACATTTGGAGCAGACTATGAATTGGAACGACCTCAGTCAGAAAGAAATTAGGACGATTGCATACACACAGTCAAAGCCATCGTCGATAGATGTTTTGAGGAACAACTACTCCCAGATGTGGTCAAAATATTGTTAGAAGAGATGTTGGAGCAGAGCTTTGCTCTGCAAACAATAGGAGCAAACATGGGAAAGACAGTGAAGGGAGGAGGGAGGCAAGGACCGGACTGCTGTTGCCACGGGAGAGGTTTCAAATGAAAACACACATTCCAATTCACCAAATTACTGGCGAGCCAATCCCCCCATCCCCAAAAAAGCCAGGAGACTGACAGTAACGGTGAGATGGAGAGTATTTGTCTCCGTATGGGTGGCTCATCTCATCACATTTACTGGCTTAGACAAGATCCCTTCGTCAGATACTCTCACACACACTTTTATCCCAAAGTCAGCCCCCTGGAATATTTACTAGCCTCATGTGGGGAAATCTCTGAGGATTATCCTCAATAACCTGTTTAACTTAATCCTTATCTCACACACATGAATAATAAATCCCCCGCCTCTCCACTCTCTGTTTTTTTTCTGAGATGGACTGAGGAGTAGAGCCTCTCTCACCTTACTCTTCATCACACTCCCCTCCTCTCTCTCTCCTCACACACACACACACACTCCCTCACTCCATCTGCTTCTCGACTATGAGCTGGCTGCTTTCTCTGCCTCGCTGTGCGTCTTTGAGCCATTCTGACACATGCGCTCCCCCTCTGTCTCCTTGTCGCTTTCTTCTTGCCGTCTTTACCCCCCATCTTTTACCTCACCAGGGAGCCAGTGTCTCTCAGTTTTGTCCTGTTCCACCCAGGACAGGAAAGGAGCAGTAGCAGGGAGCACCGGCAGAGAGGACCGTTACCACAAAAACAGGAAAAAGGAAGTGGGCAGTGACTTGTGTGAGGAGGGGACTGCGGTCGGACAGCTGTGGCTCAACAGTTTTAGATGCTGGATGAGAAAACCACATCAGAGACGGCTGGTAGAGGAAAGAAAAGAGAGCAAGAGAGAGACCTGTTGGATTCACCCCTGAGAGAAATTAAAAACCTCAACAACCTGAGGAAGACTCAACATTTGAAGATAGTGGGGCGATTTTATGTATTTATCTGATTTTAGGGTAAAACATATAGTCATAAAGAAAACTGTTATTGCCACAAGAGAGGTTTGAAATTCTTAAACATCTCGGATTCTGACACTCGGAGTGTCTTTCCTCATCTTCCGGAAAACATCTTTGGGACACATTCTTGATCAAGAGACGTCACAGACTTTGTTCTCCGGCACAAATTCCCCAACCCAAAGAAAATAAAAAGGTTTGGTCAAAGGTTTGGAAAACACTTGGAGGAAAAACTGTTTAATTCATCAAGAAACTACTCCTGGAAATAAAAAAGTTGCTGGACTGTTGAGTTTTTCTGGATTCAGATTGAACAAGAACACCATCTCTGGTAGATTTCAGCTTCGCTAAGACAAGGGCCAAATCAGGTGAGTTAATCTTTTCTAAGTCGCATGCCTCAAAGAGGAGTTTCTTTGTTTTTTCTGTGTGTCCAATGAAGTTTCAAAGACCGGTTACCAGACAGCACTCTCAGAGCATCCCTGTTCAGCAAATGGGGCTCTGAATATACATTTCCCTGTGACTGAAGAGCTGTGTACTGCATCAGCGCCAGAAAAATTTAACCAAGATCCCTTGAAAATGCTCCAGGCCACTTTCTGATTCACTCTGGGGCGAAAAGCTGATGAATAGTAGTAAAACCGTCTCAAAGAAGGCACCAAAATAACTGGAGCTGACAGTGATAACCCCTTCCCGGACAGGTTGTCAGCACCTGTCACTCCTCACATATGTTACGGCAATGGTCTCGGACAGCTCGGTGTGGATTTGAATGCGGTAATTGTGCCATCCCCGGGGGTGGACTGTCATTCCTGGAGACAGACGGCCGAGGCCATTAAAATGATACGGGGCTGATTTGTAGACACAGCAGGAAGAAATTTAACTAAATCCACCAGGAGGTCCTCGGCTGCTCATTTTGTGAAGAGTTCTGCGTTTGTGAGAAACCGATTCATCCCAGCTGTCAAGCTCAAGTTGGCTCACCTATGAAGTATTGATGACGCACATCTAATATTTAACAAGTGGCAGGATTTTGTCTTTTGAGTGGTGTCATTTTGTCAGCTGAAGACCTCCCTGATATACATATGCAAACAGAGACCTAATTTATCGACTTCATGTCGTCTGGCAGGGAGGAAGAAAAAAAAACACCACAAAGGAAGATTTTCTGCACTTTTTAGGGGGCTATTTATATCTTTTTTTCTCCTGAAGTCTCAGCGTGCTGTTGTGTCTCTCCTCCGTAAAAAAAAAGTCGCTCCTCAGTGGCAGATTATCTCCGTAAGGCCCCTCCGGGTGATAGAAGTGATTTGATTTAGTTGTAACATCGAAAGCCGTTGATGCAACTAAACCCAGTGGTCTAATTCCTGAAGAGCAAACTATCAGGGAAAATCCTTTGGGTGCCATCTGGGACACTTCACCCTCACACACACACACACACACACACAAAGACTCACACACAAACCCAAGATTCATGATTAGAGCCGTTCATTCATTCAGATATATGTCAGTGAGGTTGACAAGCTGTCCAGCTGTGGTGCTGTTGGTTCAGCTCAAGTCACTGATTATTACAGAAAAAACCTAGTTAAGGGTTGTTCTCAGAAACTGACCTGCATTCATCCTTCTTTTTTTCATATTTTACTACACACAAGTCCATAATGCAATATTTTTCATTGTTCTGCAAATGGTTTCTACTTCCAATACTATGAAAGTCATTCATTTGGGCTATATGTGAAACAAAAGGTTAAAAAAAGGGTTTATTACTACATATCGTAAGGATTTAGGCTTTGAAACGGCATAAAATGAGGCAAATTCACCATTAAGATGTATTCACTGCATTCATTTTGCTTATAATACGTTGATTTAAGCTGCAGGCTGTAACAACAGTATGTGTTTTTGAGGGAAGAAAGAAAGATTAGCAAAAGCAGCATAATTAGCATCAGTTTTGGAGTTGGCAGACATCCTTCAAAAGCTGAAGACTAATTAGCCCTGATTTGACTTTGTCTCGCTGCCGAAATAAAGGTTTGTGTCTCTGCGTTTGTGTGTCGCTGGCGGACAGGTTGTCAGATGCAGCTCTGTCATTAAACCTGTGTTAATCCCACTGAAAGATGCACACATGGCAAACATTCAGGGCTTAAATAAAACTCAAATGGAATAAAATGTGTCTCAAGTGTTTAACTGAAAAGGTTTAATTGAGCAAGCTACAATTTAGCTCAATTTAAAGCAAAATTACAAACACTGACTCTTTTTTTTTTATTGGTTATGAAGCTTTAAAATTGTTCCAAGATCTTTATTGGTTTGATCTCACGCCTCCACATCCAAGCATCTGTTGAATTCCAATTAGCAACTGCTTTAGGGATCATTTGAACACTAGTGAACACACAGAAAAGCTGGGATGACCACAAAATACTGGATTTGTAAACAACTTTTGCTTTAAAACAGTTCTTTTCTGTGATTTAGAAATGAATATGGTTGCCTTAGAGAGACTTTGAGATCATTTTCTGCGAATATAAGAAGAATTTCAATTTAAAACTAAATAAAAATGGTTACACATCAAAAAACTATAAGTTAAGTTACATTTACATGGAGCTGTATTTCTCTTAAGATAAAGCTACTGTAAATCTTTAAAAATCTCTATCTAAAGTTTAGAAACAGTTAATATTTTTTCTCCAGCGGCAGACTTTCTAGATGACTCAATTTGTTATAGATTGTTGCAAATGTAGATCTGCTAATCCTGAAGGCTGAAGCTAACAGCCGCTTCAGGACAGGGAGACCTTAAAGTGATCATCCCAGTGGTGCCTTTGCTAACTCCTGTCTACATTTGGATTCATTATTGACGGCTGTGATGATGAACGACTTTAACCGACCATATCAATGCGTTTTTTTGTGCCATGTTTTTTCTCCCACAATGCTCACATTTGATCACTGCTGCACTTTAAGAAATGGAAATGTCATGTAAGCTGTTCAAAATAAAATTTCGTTTTGTATTACACTCTGTATATACAAAATTACAATACAAGTTGTTTAAGTTTAAGGATTTAACGAGTGGCAAAAAGTGCAACAATGATCTTCTAGCTGTTTTGGTGCCACAGGCAGGATTGTTCCTTAGCCTAAAATGTTGGGGGTGGGTGTTGGGGCTGTAATGGAAACTTGAAAACATTTAATGAATGAATTGCAGCCTGTGTTTCTTTGTAAGCTTATCATCAAATACATTTTATTTAACAAATAACAGAAGTTTGTATGATTTGTTTATAGGTAGTGGGAGATTTCTAAAAGGAAAGGCTTGGAGGAGGTCAAATATGTGGCAAAACTGAATAAAAAATTAGAACCTGTCTGAAAGAAACTTATTTCAAACACAGAGGAGAGATGGTGGATATTATTGATACAGTAAAAAAAAGTAAACCTGGCTTTTAGTGCAACCGTTTGAGCTTAAATGGCCTCAGTAAGTTGATGTGGCTTGTTGCTAGGTTGGTTCACTTTTCCTTTAGCACATATTTGATTGACGGTAGTGAGAGAAAGGTCCATCTGAATGTGAAACACAAACACATTTTGGCCAACTTAAAGTTCTTACACGTAGCGAAACAAACTCCGAAACTTACAATATAGAAGACAAATAAAAAGGGTTAGAAAACAGTTTGACATTAATAAAGATTTAGGAATTGCAGACAAAATGGGTTTTAACATTTTTGGAATCATAAAAAATTCTAACTTCTTCCACATGTTTGTTTCTGACTCTTGAAGTGAAGAGTTGGTTTGATTCTTATGATCTTATGAGACTCTAAGATTTAAAGCATTGAGGAAGATCAGAGGTGTTAAAATAACTCAACTACTATTTTTTTTTTTTTTACTAATAGTGAAAGTTTTTACTCTTTGAGCAAGGTTGCCAAGGTAAGGATCTAAGGATGGATTAATATGATGATCTTTGCTTATTTGTCTCTTTGTTGTTTTTGTTTTAAGGACTCCAATAAAAGCATTTTCATTTATGTTTTTGGTGTCCTGCTGATATAGTGTTTTCTGTTCAAACAGCTGCATGTTGGATGGGAGCTAATTAATGAATAAATGCTTTGAATTAATTTGTTATTGAATGCTGGATATATTTCCAGGTGACAAAATTCTGTCTGTGTTTTAAGTGTTAAGTTAGATTTTTTTCTTGTGATTCAAGGTCCATGCGGTCAATCATCATCCCAGAAATGTATAGTAAGGGCTAGACATTTTATTGTTTATTTGGTGTTTTTTCCCCTTTTTTTGTGAGCTGCCTCAGCAGCGCCCCCTTCTTAACCTCACCCTCCAAATTGCTCTGTTTGTGGTCTGAGCTAGACTGCTTTCCATGCATCTTAGAAGTGACAATAGATACCACCATTCATGCACACACACACACACCTAAGGAGAATTTAGAGAAGCCAATTAACCTAACAGTCATGATTTTGGACTGTAGAAGGAAGACGGAGTACCTGGAGAGAACCCACGCATGCACATAAAGAAAACATGCAAATTTCCATAGAGAAAGACCCTGGATCGGGAATAGAGCCAGGAACCTTGTTGCTGAAAGACAACAGTGCTACCCACTGTCGCTATTTCAGTTGGAATTTAGACTTATAAAACATTTCTTTACATTGTGTAATATCTTTTAATGTAAAAGGAGAGAGAAAAACCAACATCGGCTTCAAGAATTGGCATAAAAATATTGGTAACAGAAATCGGGAATCAGTTAGACTAATGTCAAAATAATCGGTATCCCATATTGGTGGATCTCTCCATAGAAGTCAGAGCTTGGATTTTGGATCAACTTGATGCTTGTGTTGATGTGAAGATGTTTTACTGCAAACTGATAGAATTCTTATATTTGTGGGGTTCTAACTACTGGAGAAAAAAAAGCAAAGCATGTAAAGTTAGACTAACTGAGATAAATTCAAATGTTAAAAGAATAATGTAGTGAGTTTAGAAATCTAAAAACATTTTTATACCACGTTATTTCAAGGTGGTAGGTAAGGTGCTCTAAGTGAGCCAGTGGTCTGGTTCTCCTAGTTCTAAGTTGGCAAAAGAAAACAAAAGAGTCACCCCAAGTTGGAATTTCAGCCGCTGATGTCAGCAGTTAATTTTAGTTCACTATTCCCTATAAAAGCACTTATAAAACGCAGTGTAGGTTTCAGGTCATAACAGTTTATTATCGTATAATGTTTCTAGTAACATTAGACCAGGGGCAGCCCAGCTGTACGACCTCAGGTGTACATAAAATATGGAGAGACCAGAGGCTATAACTGACTTATATTGCAGAATTTCTCGGCAAAATGATGAGCTTTAATAATATGTGGCATTATTCTCAGATCCTCTTGTAAAGATTCCTGAATTGTAAGTCTAAACTGAATAATACATTGGTTGTACAACT